GTTCGGGAAACAAACTCTTTCAAAAGCATTTCTGAGAACTGAGCCAAGTGGGCGGTGTTGTATTGGCTGGTCTGCCCTCTTCATAGGCTTGCCATAGACACCTGTGGAGAATTATCTCTCCCAAGGCCAATTTCTTCTTTTGTTATGCTGACTCAACACTGTTGAGCAGACCCATTTCTTAACATACTCTTCGATTCTTCTTTAGGGTAAACGTTACCCCTATTTATATACAATGATCACAAAAGTAGAGCTCCATACAGACAATTCTTAGTCCATAATCTCGTCAACCACTGTACTTCCTCCGAAGCACCCCAAAATCCGCACCTGTGACGTCCACGCTGAGTAGACCTTCTGTAAATTTAATGTTGTTTCTTCAACTCCTTTGGTACTGAAGTATAGGATTATTATGGAGGCGGACATACTGCAAGTCCCAACCTTATCCTCTACAAAATCTCAGGCCTTAAACATGTGTAAATTTTGGGGGAACCTTTCAGTACTACATATATACATTTCAGACCAAAACTGATATAACACATGACTCGCAATCCATTCATTGATAGTGGACTCCCCCACTCGGCGCGAAGTCATAATTCACCACGTCCGATGGTCCACAATATTAACCTTCACAACTCGTATAAATCAACCAGATTCCAAGGAACGTTGCACCCCCCATATTATTCACTGGGTGATCTCTCTATACGTCTTCAGTCGGAATCACACGTTGAAGAAATATTTGAGCATCTCTGGCTCCCTCATAGTTCATCTGCGGCATTACGAACTGTCGACGCACAACTGATACCGAGTGCATAATGACATACACGAGTAGATACAAAGGAATACGAGATATAAGTTTCAAGCAAAATCAATGTCGCACGATAAGGAATGAAAGAAGTGAAATTGTTCCTAAACTTCATAGCCTCTGAGAGATAAGTACAGACGTCTATGTACCGATCCTTCAGACTCTACCAAGCTTGCTCGTGACTCGTGAGACCTATGTAACCTAGTGCTCTGATACCAACTGTCACGACCCAAAATTTCCCACCGACGGGACCGTGATGGCGCCTAACATTTCACTTGCTAGGTTAGCCAATGTTAGAAAATCGTTAAACCAATTCCTTATTTCCATAAATAACAATAATTAACTAAGATGAAATGCAAGAGGTGCGGAATATCATAAAAATTATATTCATTACTACCACCTGGATCTGGAGTCACAATCCACGAGCATTCTAGAATTTACTACAAGTAATAATCTGAAAGAAATACAACTGTCTGAATAAAAGAAACAGTAGAACAGAAAAGATAGACGAGGACTTCAAGGTCTGTGAACGCCGACAGATATACCTTGAGTCTTCAGACAGCGGACTAATAGGAAAATCTCGATCAACCCGAGCCGGTATCAAAATCTGCACAGAAAGTGCAGAGTGTAGTATCAGTACAACCGACCCCATGTACTGGTAAGTGTCGAGCCTAACCTCGACGAAGTAGTGACGAGGCTAAGGCAAGGCACCTACAAATCAACCTGTACAATTTTAACAGTGTATATACAAATAACATAAATGAAGAACTAAATAGGAAATGTCGGAAGGAAAACATACCGAGAGGAATACAAAATGAAGAACTACAACAGAATGATTATCAGAGCAGTCAATATACAATGAATCAACAGGAATAGTGAATATAGTAAAGAAGAATACATAGAATCACCCTTCGTGCTTTTACTCTCAATCTCATCATAAAAATCAATAGAAACGGCACGGCATCACCCTTCGTGCATTAACTCTCATATCATGGTACGGTATTACCCTTCATGCATTAACACTCACAATATGGCACGGCATCACCCTTCGTGCATTAACACTCACAATATGGCACGACATCACCATTCGTGCATTAACACTCTCCCTTACCATAATGCAATACATAAATAACAACAGGGAGATAGAATAACAAGTATAAACATTGGTTCAACATTTGGTTCCATAACATCAATCTCAACTTTGACATAAAAACACAATTATCACCAGAAAATCCGTAAACATGATAATGACGATCAATTTAACAACACTAGTATAACACATAGCAATTAGGCATAGGAATGAGACAATATAAGAAAACGGAAAAAACATGGAAAAACAGGTAAATTGGCGGCGCATAAGCACTCGTCACCTCACATATACGCCGCTCACATGAATTTCACTTAGCAAGTAATCTAAGGTTCCTAATTCCCTCAAGTCAGGGTTAGACACAACACTTACTTTGCTCTGAAGGCCACTTAATTCTCAATCACAGCTTTTCCTTTGGAATTCACCTCCAAACCACTCGTATCTATTCAAAAATGACTCAATAATATCAAATATTGCTAAAGGAATCAATTACATTGCATAAATTTTGATTTCCTAAATTTTCAAAAAGTCAAAAATCGACCCCGGGCCTGCTTGGTCAAAACCCGAGGTTCGGACCAAAATCTATTTACCCATTCACCCCCGAGCCTGAATTTATAATTGGTTTTAGAATCCGACCTCAAATTGAGGCCTAAATCCCCATATTTCTAAAAATCCCTACTTTCTACCCAAAACCCCTAATTCTATCATGAACACCTTAGATTTTAGGTTAAAATCTTGTAAAATGTAGTGAAAGATTGAAAGAAACCAGTTTAGAATCACTTACCTATGATTTGGGGAAGAGATGGTCTTTGAAAAATCGCCTCTTGTGTTTTAGGTCTTGAAAATTTGGGAAATGAATGAAAATTCCCGTCCAAAAGTCATTTTATTCAGCCGCAGACGTCTCATTTGCGACCCGAGCTTTACAAATGCGAAGCTCGATATTGCGAAGGGGCTATCGCAATTGCGAAACCTTCACAATCCTGCTTCCCTTCGCAAATGCGCGGAAAGTGTCGCAATTGCAATCACTGACCTCGCAAATGCGGACAAAAGATTACATTTGCGATCCATACCTCTCCTAGACTCCCTTTGCAAATGCGAAGAAAAGTTCGCAATTGCGAACACATGCTGGCCCAGCTTCTCTTCGCATTTGCGATGAGAAGTTCGCAAATGCGACCTCAACAGTGATCGCAAATGCCAACCCTGACCTCGCATTTGCGAAGTCTGAGGCATGCAACACAGCTGAAGTATACCAGATATTTTTCTAAGTCCAAATCACTCCGTAGCCTATCCAAAACTCACTCGAGCCCTCGGGGCTCCAAACCAAACATGCACACAAGTCAAAAAATATCATACGAACTTGCTCGCACGATCAAATCGCCAAAATAACACCTAGAACTACTAATTTAGCACCAAATCAAATTAAATTCTCAAGAACACTTTAAAATTCATATCTTCTCAATTGGACGTTCGAATAACATCAAATCAACTCTGTTTCTCACCAAATTTCACAGACAAGTCTTAAATATCATAATGAACCTATACCGGGCTCCGGAATCAAAATACGGACCCGATACTAACAATGCCAAATATCAATCAATTCTTAAGAACAAATAATTTATAAACTTTTAATTTTCATCAAAAATTCATAACTCAAGCTAGGGACCTCCGAATTCAATTCCGGGCATACGCCCAGGTCCCATAATTCGATACGGACCTACCGGGATGGTAAAGCACGTATCCGGACCCGTTTACCAAAAATGTTGATCGAAGTCGATAAAAATTAACTTTTAAGGCAAAAATTCTTATTTTCATTAGTTTTTAACATAATCGCTTTCCAGAAACCTGTCCGGACTGCGCACGCAAATCGAGCAGGGTAAAAATGAGATTTTTAAGGTTTAAGAGCACAGATTCGAGTTCTAAAATATAAGATGACCTTTTGGGTCATCACAATAATAATAATAATAATACTCGTAACTATTTTATTTTAATAAGATAAAATATTAGTACAAGAAGTATGTACTACACCAAATTTTTCATTAATGATAGTTCTTATCAAATTAACATGTTGAATCATTTCTATATGGAAAGCATATAGTAGTAGATAGTAGACAGAGATTTGTCCACTATTTCTTTTGATTACCTGATTGACTTAAAGGTTCTGCTATATCTCTTTATTTTTCTAGAGAGCATAATACTTAGTTTCCACAAAAGTGCATGGTAACTAGTAGTACTATTATTCTATTTGATACATCAGGTCATATCACTTTCATCTTGAAGTAGGCTTATTGCAGCAAAGACCACGTGTAAATTTACAATATTATTTTGTATTTTCATATATCTGTTTGACACTAATTACTTGGATGATTTGCGTAAACGAAAGTCTATTGTTAAGAATTATATCCAAATGACATTATGAAGAGTTTAACTCAAGAGGTAAGCATTTCCTTCGTATTTGAAATTATTTTTGTCCTTTTCTATTAATGATATCAACTTCAATGAGTTCAAGACGCAATGCACCATGAGGGTAAGACATCGGGAGCAAGTCCTGATGCTCCATGATGATAAGAGTTGGGTTTGAATCTCAATTAATTATGGCCTAACATGCATTTATATTTGTAAGACATTGGGTCTGAGTCCCACTGTACCATATTGATGATATAATAATCACTAAAGAAAAATAATATATTTTTCATGAAAAGACATGAAGATTGTCCCACTTGATTTGCTCCATTCTTGAAGTGAATGTGGTAGCGGCGCATAATAAGTCTAAATAAAGACAAAAGGTTGACCAATGAACGTGGGTGTTCAAGAGATCAAAATAAATAATAGTCATCACTATGATTATAAAAGGAGAACAATAAAGGTTCTCAAAATAGCCCTTCAAAATGTGAGTATGTCATTGTATCACATGTACGCGACCAATGACATATTCATGTAACCACACAATAATATTTATTCTCTTTATTTCACTCAAACCTCCCTTAGAGGTGAGTTGTGTGGTATTCATCCAATCATGAGTGAGAGTCTCATTGGCCTTTTGAGCTAATTCATAGAATATTGAAAAAGAACATGAGTGAGAGTCTTATTGGCCTTGTTGAGCTAATTCATAGAATATTGAACCTCAATGGAACTCGAGATATTTTCGAACAAGAAATACAGCAAACATTGCCAGTTATGTTCGTACTGAGATGGATATCCAATTACAGAACATGTAATAAGATATATTAAGGGGTAGAGAGTGACAAAATTATGGCCCCATTTCGTTTTGAACACAGCCAAAAGCCAATGTATAATACATACAACCACTCCCTAAACCCCTGCCTCCCCAACTTTTTATTTCCCTCCCGTCTAGAATACAAAAATACTTTATAATACCATGTCCAAGATGCACTTTCCCTCATCGATCTCTACGAGTTACAGGAGATTTCGAGTTGTCAGAAGGGTTAACCCGACCTAATCTACTGGAGTCGGTCTTACTACTACTATGACTACTAAATAAATTTCTACAATGCTTACTTGAGTTGGGACAGAGAGGTGTCCTTGAATTGCTTTCTCGAACCCCAGCATAACCGTTTCGATCAGGTAACCCTGTCCAAAAACCGTGACCATCCCCAGCTGTTTCTGCACCGTCGCTACAACTGCTACAGGTCTCTTCATGTGCAGAAGCATTACGGTCCAAATCAGCAAGAGGTGAATGTTTCGAGTATAGAGGGGAAGGAGAAGATGAGGATGACGATGTGTCAGAATCTGATGAATTCCTCCACGGGTTATTCCAACAACCTCCAGACTCACCAAATATTTGATCAAATAATTCATCAGTGCTAGTAGAATCCCTGTTAGTGCTCTCTGTGCTGCAAGAAGCACCCTCAGAGAAGAGAGAGGATGACTGTTCGCTTGATGAGTCGTCCTCAAATATTGACCTACTCGGCCTGACACTTGTATGACTAGTATAAGAGCATTCGCTGCAAGTTTGATCAGTTGAATCGCCATGAGAAGAGTCCCATGGACTTCTTGTATGGGATCTTGATTTACAAGCCAATTGCTTAGATCTTCTTGGATCAAGAGGAATTGCCAAACTCCTCATTATTCTCGGAGCCCGTGGCGAGCACCTAAACGGAAGAGGAAAAAGTCAGCTACAACCAATAAGGATAGGGGAATGCATAGCTCAACTAGAAAGAGAACTTAATTTTACCTTGAATAGAGAAGCATGTATGCTCCCTCCGACAAGACTCTTTCAAGTTCGACGGATTTTACCTACAAAGATGACAAAGCCCAGATCAAAACCTCGAAAACAGCATGACTCATGCTTCGCAATAGTACATGAAGCAGAGTCGAGAGGAAATGGGGTGTCACAATTTTCCAACACCACAGAACTCGTGAATGCACAAGCACTGTTAGTAGTTCAAAGCAGAATGGACAAACTACTACTTCATACCAAATGACTGAATTCCTTAAAAGGTTACACAATACCAAAAAGCCCAGAAGTGAGAAATAAACTATCCAAGCAATGGAAGAAATTCAGAAGATAAAAGGAGATAAGTAAAACATAAGCTCGTTAGTGTGACCTACCGAACTATCATTAACTTTGAACCACCTATTCTGAAAGTTCCTCACATAACACACATAGTGACCAGAAAATGCAGCATTCATTACGTCCAGGTGAACCACGACTCCATAAAGCTGGTAAACTGGCGACTTATCACGTGTCCCACTCATATATGGTGCCAGGTTCAGAATCTCTGGAAATTTAATTGTCTTGTTTAGCTTCCCAAATTTACCTGACTGCAAAACTACAGACAGTGAGCAATTGGCAACAAAACAAAGACACATGGAAGCATTTACTTGGATCAATATAAAAAAATGGAGACAAACTTCATTCAAAACAGTACCTGAAATCTCTTTAATGCAATAGTGAGGACATTAGGAGCCTCCAGCACTTTCAACTTTTTCTTGGCCTTCTCATATGATTTACATCTGAAGAAGCAATAAAATTTTAGTCCAAATATGTGCTCTAAATCTATTTTACTTCATCATTTCAATGAAAATAGCATGCATGCATTTCAAGAATCGATCTGCTCATAACCAAAAAAATTGTTATTGCACAGAAATTTCATATTGTTAGTGCCACTACCGGAGATTTTAGAACAAATTGTCATTCAAAGCTAAATCAGCAGATTTTATCATATTAAAATCACTTTTACACACATATATACAACAACAAACCCAGTGAGTTCCCACACACACACACACACATATATATATAGAGAGAGAGAGAGATTGATGGTAAGTGTGTGTAATATATATATNAGCCGGAAACAAAGAAACGATTCAATGAAAGTTTAATCAACTCAGTTAACACCAACAAATGGCACTACCATTAGATTCTCCAAAGCCAACTGAGTCAAAACATTAACACATGCAAAGCATCTGACCCACTACTAAAGAAAAGGTTATAACCCTCAAATGAAATATGAAGTAAAAGAAATGGAGGGTTAACATATTCCAGTTGCTTCGTCAAGAATTGCAGACTCAATTTATNCTCAGATAAATACATTACAAGAAAGAGGTATGAGACAATCGGATCTAACCTGCCACATCGGTACTTGTTTTCACCGTCTAGAGTCTCGGTATGAGTAAATTGTTTTAAAGCTTCCTCCAAGGTACCTATATCTCCGTCTATTTCAACAGTAAGATCCATCATTCTCTCTTGCCTTTCAGATTTGCCCCCGCACCTCATGCACTCGATCTTTCAGTTAAAATTTTCAAAAATCAGGATAGAAGTTTCCAAGGAAATACAGAGCTTACTTTTAAGAACTACTAAAAGCCAGCAGTTACCTTTGAACGAAGGTATCCCCCAAACATAAGCCCCACGAGAGTTGTTTCTTCTTCAAAAGAGCCAGATGCACTAACCCCAGCTTCCCTCAAGCAAATGGATTGCATTGTGTCGATAACATACCTATTAAGTTTGGCGAACAGATAATAAACTAACTTAGAACTGTAAAAGATACTTGCACATTACAATTACAAGCTCCACAGATACAGAAAACATACCTAAGGAATTCATGTGCATCTTCTTCTCTACCATTACCAAGATTGCTTCCGATGCTCTCGAGATGGGAAATTATGCTAATAGGAGAGAGAGGAGAGTTTCCGTCCTTTGCTTTTAGAACTAGACTCTCGAACTCACACGTGAAGCACCACCCTTTCTTTTCACCTGATAGCAGACAAAAAGAGAGAAGTAGAGAGTTTTATTTGATTTAGGGTCTATGATAGATGAAAATTTAAGAATTCTAACAAACAAAAATTGGACGTACATGTTTTGGAGTGGAGCCCTTGAAGAAAATAGGAAGTAAGCGGTGGAGTAAACGCCAGGCATTGAAGGACAGCATTAGCATAGCAGCTACGGCACATTGCAGAAAAACAAGTTAGGCATGAGGAAATATATACACATTTTGTGAGATTTTGATGTATATCCTACACCTAGCAAGTTTTAGAATAGGAACCACAAGACAATAGCCAAATAAACAGCGATAAGTTCAGAATCTTCCATTTTCTAGTTGAGACATTAACCGGGTAGATAAGTATAGGAAAGTAAGACAGCAAGAAATCTGAATATTCGGATATTAAATCTTGACTAAAGCCTCTAGAATTGCCAATTAATATCTGATTCCCCTTTAGTCTTTTCGCAATGTTATTTTCATTGAAGCCAATCAATCTTCATGTTTGAGGAGGACTTAAATAAAGAACTCTCAAATGATGTTTGAGTAAACCTTTTTTTTCTTTTTTTGGATAACCTAGAAATCCCCTAGGGCAAGTGGTGCACAGTTCGAAACTCGGTGGATAATGGATCCACCCCTCTACCCTTCTCCACTTAAATACAACTTTAAATTGTAAAATATAGGCTTGTAATGAATTTAAATGGGGAACATGGTCAGTGGGGATTCATCTAGCCGACCCCAAGTTATTTGGACTAAGTCATCGCTGTTGTTGTCTACAACAGGGTTAGAACATGTGACCTGCTCCTGACCACACATCACATGTTTGAGTGAACCCTTCCCCTTATTTTTTCATTCTCTCCTTTATTTCCCACTTTTCTCTTACTCTCAGCTCATCTCAGCGGCTCAGCCTGCTCATGCTCTTATTTATTGAGCCCCAAAACACCATAAGGTCCAGGGCCATTTTTTGCCCACAACATCCTCTCTTTTAGAACAAGAACACATCAAGTTATTAGTTGAAAAGCCCAAAGCTAACTGCACTAAGTAGACCTTAACAACAGAGGTCTCTTCAACTGAGGAATTTCTGGTAGTTCCAACATAAGTAACCAATTAATTTCATGCAATCACAAAATTTTCTTACTGACCCCTAAAGTTTTCCTACAAAATAATTTCACAAAACTTCACTACTTATTAAAACAGGTAATTTCATAAATTTATGCACTAATTATCTCATTAAATAAGGCCCTTGAACGTCAGACCATCAATCATTTATGTAAAATGTTACTCATAAGTAAAATCCATTAATATATCTTGTAACTCACAGCAAATCACCTAATTTCTTTGTAGATTGAACAACCAATGGCTGAGAAATTTTACTCTTAACAGGGAAAGCATGTTCAAAAGCTTCAATAAGTGATATAAATACTTGAAATCGGAACGTAATGAGACAAAATCCACATCCCTTAAGACAAAAGCACGTTTAGATAAGAAAGTTATACGAGGCACGACTAGTCGAAAATAACTAGACATTCTAGGTTACATAGTAAAACCAGCTCAAACTCATGCCACATACCTGTTACCACAGTTAACGAGGCCAAATGGCCGCAATTCATTCTTCCAATTATGAAGCTTCACAAAACTTTCATATGGAAAAAGACCCTGAAAAGAAACATATCTGATGAATACAGCGTCTAAAATCTTATGTGCATTACAGGTGAAAATCACATATAATCAAGAAATGTATACCTTGTTACCATATCTTCCAACGACCTCACACTCATCCCCCAAAGAATTATGCCGTGTCAGCTTTGAACCCCTGAACTGGTCAACAACTTTCAACACCGATGACTTCAAGCCATTCCTTGCATTTGGTAAAGGAACATTAGACTCTGCAGAACAGGCACTAGACACTTGAGTGCTATCAATCCTAGGAGACTTCACATTTTGAACTTCATGCCTCCCATTGCTAGAAGAGATATGACTACCAGAAATTTTGGCAGGAGAAGATTCTTTTTGTCTATCTTTTGGCAATTGTAAAACACTGGCCGAGCCTTCAACGCCACAATATGATTTTTTGGGGCTTGACAATGGCAAGCTACTAACTTTTAACCCATCATGATTCTTTAAATTACCAGAAGCACCAGATGAGGAGTATCTACCTTCCTCGGGGGTCGATGTATATTTATCACTGGAGTCATGCACATCAAGTTGATTCGAAGTTACAGATCGTGAAGCTGATGACCTCCTGCTTTCTGTCTCATCTTTAACTTCAAATCTTGATTCAGCTCGTTCGACTGGTTTCCGCCGTTCCACTGTAATTGGGTTTGGATTTTTCAGATTCTTTTTTGAGTTGGATCCATGTTCACCCACCTCAGAAACAAGAGGTCTAGCCATTTCAGGGGGCTGAGATGAAGTTGACTGAAAATCTGAAATCTTGGTGTTGCAAGCATTTCTGGAAGGAGAATATGCAATACTGTCAAGTGACTGAATCTTAGATCTAGTATAAGGAACTGCTCCTTCCCAAAAACCAGATGAGGGTGTAGAAGGCTCTGTTGATGAAGATTCACTGGATCCATCATTACTTGAACTTGTCGATGTCCAATATTTAGACTGCGTGTCCCCATGAATGATAAGCTTTGTGGGATTATATTTGCCTGACGTTGAAACAACATCTGCAGCAGATACCAGTTTGGGTTGCTCTCTGTAGGGTGGCTTACATCCGTCTACCTTGGAATGATTAGCCTGACTCTTAACTTTAGCAATAATAGCAGACTTATGACTGTCAGAAGCATCAGAGTCATTTGAATCAGAAGCAGAAAGATCAACAGACGATTCACTTGAGGCAGTGAGGTCCAAATGTTCACATTGAGATGAGTGAAGCACGTAACTGGAGTTCAAATTGGGACATTTTGCTTCTGTCAGACTCTGTTCATTTGAGACATCCTTCGCATCATATGTTGCAGAGTGTTTGGATCTCAAAACTGCAGCTTCTGCTGGGGAAGCATCGCCTGATTCTGAAGAATGTCTCCCTTCAACCTCAATGCTCTTAAGATGACTTCCATTTGATTCCTGCTTATATGCATTCAGATGAGATGTCGCATCAACATCATTGTGGTGATCTGTGTTGCTAACTGGACGGCATTCATCCTTGTGACCTTGTCTCCAATGAAGGATTTGACATTTGCCAGAGCTGAGATGAATACAAAATATAGGAATATTAGAGATGTAGATATGAATGGTTTGGAGCTTCAAGAGAATAAAAATTTGATAGCTATCAAGAAAGAGATAAGATGCCTAATATGTAAGCAAGGTATCTTGAGCATATAGTACTAAATATGCAAGCAATCTCAATTCTTTCGACAAGTTTATTTCTCAAAGCATTAAAGTAAAAGCAAAGCTGTAAACTCAGTCATTAGTGTCAAGATAGATGCTCGTCCACAAGTTGTCTTTTCAACTGTAAAAACCTCTTCCTCCGCTATCCCACCCAAAAGAAAAGGCGCCTAAAAAGAGAACAAAAAAAGATATCTTCACAAATGTTGGGGCCTGCGTTACATGGACTCGGGTGCTTGAGGCTACTGATAAAATACGTATACGGATGCTGGGATACTAAGAGCAGACTCAATTTTTAAAAGAAAAGGAAATCTTGAGACCATAATAATCATTCCTGGATAAACAAGAAGGCCTATGCACCAACCAACACAAGGGTAAGAGGCCAGATCCGCACCTGATAGCTCCTACTTGAAAATTTAGTAGGAAACACTCTCATCTCACCTCAATCCAAATTTAGCTGCAAAGTTCCAAATGTTTGATGCATTCTAGATAAATAGCATTTATTTACAACTCTATACATTTTAAATTTTCAAATTTTAAATACATTAAATGACTCAATTTTAAATGATGTATATCCTCTCTAATCTCAATGTAGTTATTTGATACATCTAACTATTGCTTCGTATTGGGCAGCAAACTTTCAGGGTGAACCTGGGAATCTACTTAGAGGACTTATCATGGCTCTAGCCTTGACACCATTGGATTAGCGACAGTCCAGGACCATGCAAGTTCTTCTGGGTGCACCTGAACTTAAAATAGCAGTTTCCTGCTTGTTATATATTTTCATTATCAGATAGTTCCTCCTGAAAGATAGGATGTCTAACATGTTATATAGATTAAAAAAATTATCCATTTGCTGTCAAATAACTGAATATCTCCGCTCTGATAATCAATTTATTATGTGTTTCTTCATGTGTATGTAAGATTCAAAAAAAAAAGAATTGGTATAATTGAGGATTAACTTCATTATGTAGACAAAACGTCCTTCAGATGTAATCACATTTCATCGATTTACAACAATAAAACCTTCTTTTTGAAATGTATCCGGAGATTGCCTCTATATCTAAAGCTTANTTCAGATGTAATCACAGTTCATTGATTTACAACAATAAAACCTTCTTTTTGAAATGTACCGTAGACTGCCTCTATATTTAAAGCTTACCCTAGCCTTGGTGCTAATAATTTATGCAGAAATTCTTCAAAACTGAAACTGTATTTTTGCTCCATTTAATAATCGTGTTACAAGCATAAAATTTACATAAATCCGTCTAAATTACAAGATATTACCACTTCTCTTTTGCAATAAGTTGACAAAGAAACACAGCAAATATTGATTTTGATTTTGAGGCAATAGGAAATAGAGTCAAGAAGAACGTAAATCTTTCAACATATGAAGTTACAACATAACAGGGGCGGAGCTAGTAGCCCGTTTACGGGTTCAGGCAAACCCAATAACTTTTGTTCAGACCGTGTGTATTTGTGTTAAATAAATTCATTAAATATGTACAAATATTAAATTTAGACCCAGTTATTAACACTTGAAGTCATCCTTTTAAATTCCAGAACCCGTAAGGTTGAAATACTAGCTCCGCCTCTGCAACCTAAACATGAAGAGGTAAGTCCTCACATGCAGAAATTTAGTAGGTGCTTTAGATTCCGCTCTTATTACTAACTTATCGTGAACACTATTATTAAAGACGTTGGATTAGTACTGAAAAGGGCACTAACGGCTAGTGACTACGATACCAAAGAGGCGTATAAATGACCTCTCGTAACTCCACCTCCATATGTGGCATAAAAAGGATCGATTCCATTGTAAACATGGAAGAGATTAGAGCACATCCCGCGTAAGGGTAACGAATAGGCTGAGCAAACTAGTTAAGAGTCTTGGAACCATTTCATTGAGCTTCTTTTATGTTTAAAATTCAGCTTATTCAATTTAAGACTCTTGTAAATTTACCAATCAATGAGAATTACTCTAAATCGAAACAAGCCCAACTTAAGCTTTGCTTCACTGGTGTATGTTAATTCGCATATACAAATAAATTTCATGATGTAGCATGAGCATAGCACTAATGATATCTTCATCTTAAATTTGTTCTTGTGGCAATTAATCTAGTGAAAAGGAGAAGGATGAGGAAAACAGAAGATATGAAAGAAAAAATATTTTTGCAATTAAATTATAGATCAGCAGTTATTCTTCTACCCATCCCAAAATGAATTAATTTCTTAGTAACCGTAAATTTCGTCCATTCTAGTTAACCATTAATGTAGAAAGATGAATCAGAAAGAATAACAAAACTTCGCTCTCTTGAAATTGTCTAAGTGATTCAATAGCAGTCAGTTACATAGAATAGAGATTTCATTTGCGCATTTTATGCCACTCATAAAATGGTCACCAGTTACCATATACCATTAGCAGTTCATTCGTCTCATTTGATTCTAGAGCATATCAGAAGAAAGTCTTCACTAGAGGAACTGCAGCCCAATTATAAAACTAAACCTATGCCGTCAACTGCAAAAGTGCACTTTTTAACCAGAACTAAAGAGGAAAAAGTAATTGAAAAGCCCTTCTACAATGTTGCAATTATTGAGTAAATGAATCCAAAATCTACATCCAATACTAGCAAGTCTATCAATGATCTAGTTCCAACAACAACAACAACAACAAAAATCGTTTCAATTCTAAGCTAGCTGGATAGGTAATAGGAATCTTCACTATCCTTGTCACTGTGTGTAATATTTACTACTAATTTAAATTCTTTAACAATAGAAGTTCTCTATCTACAAACATACAAACCCCTGTTGAACATCAAACCTAAGGAAAGCGTATCAACATGGCTATGCCTCAACCTCAACTAGTTTCATCACACATGAAAAAAAGGAAAAGGAAAAAAATATAAACTTTTAGGAGAGATTGGGGTTATGAATCAAACATACCAGTAGCGAACTGCTTTACATTGAGAGCACCGAGTAGAGGTCGGAGAAGAGCAAACTGCGCATTGGTACTGCAATTGCCGTGAACCAGAATATGATGTTGTAGTTGATGATGGTGGTGGTGGTGCTGATGATGCTGGCGGTTCAACGAATACGTCATCCTCCTTCAGAATATCATAACTATATCCTCCATAACCGTAGCCGTATTCTTCAGCGGCTAGTAGCTCAGCCCTAGCTGCCTCCTCTGAAGCCAAAACCAAAAGCCTCTTGATCTCCTCCCTCCTGGCCACCGAACGCCGCCATTTTCGGCGAACCACAAAACCTAACACCGGTCCAAAAACCGCCACAAAAGCCGCCACCACCAAGCTCGAGAGAAACCCTAGATCCCCTCCCACGAGCATTTACACAAACCCAAAAACAACAGCAGATCACATCCAAACCCTAATTCTTCCAAATTCATAGAGAGTTCCTATAACTCCTCCCCGATCACCAAGTCGAAATTCTTCCAACGCACACACACAAAAACACAAAGATCAAACTTTGCATGCACACAAAATTAATTCAATCAAAAATCGTCAGATCAATAAAATTACAAAAATAATTAAACTTAATTGTGGAGAAATCGAGAGAGGAAAGTGTGTCGTTTGGAGAAGCAATAAAGTCACTGGAAGAGAGAAGATTCTGACCCTAAGAGAATTTTTTTCAGATCGAGAATTTAGGGGTTTTTTAAAAAAAAGTGACGGGAAAACTGAAAAAGGAAATTAAAATAGGCGTATAAGTGTGAAAATAAGAATAAATGTAGGGGGTTAAAATTAAAATATTAATTCTGTGAGATGTAAGAAATCGATGGATGTGGGCAAAGAATTTTGTCCTCAGGCATCGGGAGACGTGAACCCTTGGCTCATCTAAATATTCGGACCGGAGTTTAACCGGTCGGAAGATTCACTTATTTGAACCCGGTCTATCTTTTAATGTAAACTTTCCTTTTGTCTTTTTTTGTGGATCTAACGTTAATACCAAATATTTTATTTCTATTTATATCACTTTCATTAATGGTTTACCATAAACTTTGATGATCATTAAATTATTGTTTCGTTCAATTATTTTGATTGTTTACGACTTTTCCCGAAACATTTGGTCTAATATAGGAATTTTGATATGGTCTTGTTCAAATAGATTTTTTTTTTATAATTTTAATGTAGGCCAACTAAATGTCTTAATACATCCAAAGCTTTGTTAAACAAAATTGAAAACAAACCTTAACCCACTTGTTAGTAAATACTTATCTGCTGGTATTTATATTTAATTAAATAATTAATTTTACGAATCATTAAATCAAAATAAAAGTACATATGACTTGACTATATACTATGATTTAGTTAAAAAGTATAATATCTTTATATTCATTAACTTGAATAAACAGTAAATTTTATTTCACTTTCTTTTATTATTTTATTAGGCCTCTCTCTATCTTTTCCTATATACATTCGACTAAGGGTTTGAACATTTGAATCATAATTCGTAGATATGGTAGTCATGATTCATGATGAGTGTACGTGCCACCGACAATGGAATGTGATAGCTTACTCACCAATTTTAAACAATATTTACTAGTAACTGGAAATTTTTTAATATTCACATTATCTGAAGGAATATTGGAATTGAACTTAACATTCCTTTCCAAAATAAAATGAAAAACGAAAATCAAATTCTCATTCAGTATTGGAGCTTCGAGTAATTTGAGTTCACACTGCATAAGCTCCACTAAAATAAAAAGTATTACGTACTATATTTAATATACTAGTTTTTAGTGTACGTGTGTTGTAACAAAATAAATTTATTCTGCATGTACCTCATACACTCTTATAATCTAGGTAAACATGTCCGTGTTTCAGTAATATTCGTAGGTCGTCAACCAGGCACTCCCAATTTAATCCCTTTTTTTTAGTCTTATGTTTCTTCTCATCTCGACAAGAGTGGGTTGCTCTGGTGGTAAACACCATTCACTTCCAACCAAGAGGTTGTGAGTTCGAGTCACCCCAAGAGCAAGGTGGGAGTTCTTGGAGGGATGGAGCCGAGGGTCTATCGGAAACAGTCTCTCTATCCCAGGGTAGGGTTAAGGTCTGCATACACACTACCCTTCTCAGACCTCACTAGTGGGATTATACTGGGTTATTGTTGTTGTTATTGTATGTTTCTTCTCATCTCAAATATTTTTATTTAATTCTAACTTATGCAGCCCATGAGAAGGTAGGAACACTCTAAAAGAACTCATTCCACCTAATCCCTTCCTAAATAATTATATTTATGGATTACATAATTATATATATAGATCAAAGTAAAAATATAGCATTTCAAAATTTAACATGTAAATATAAAAGTTATAAAAAAAAAAAAAAGCAAAAAAGGATTCTACGTTTTTGTTTGACAAAGTTGCGAAAAAATTACCCATAACAAAAGTAGTTAAGAGTTTCCTTTTAATGTATTGTCCTTTTCTATTTATGTATAGGAAAAATTAGAATTTAAAATAATTTGATTCCTTCTTGAAATATATATTTTCTTTTAATTAACTTATGATTTTAGGAATTGAAGACATTTTAGTTCCTTCTCTGAATCGTACTTTTCTCATTTATTTATGATAGGAATTTTAGGAATGTGTATTTCACTTTTCTAAATCAAGTTCCTAAATAGGAAAGTAATTAAATGAATATTTTTAAATATTAGAAAAGTAAATTGAATGATTAATACTATATATAAGAAGATAATTAAATTACTATTTTGTCCAATTTGAACTCTATTTTAAAGGGGTAAAAAAGACGAATGATATTTCGCTAAAAATTTTCGTGTTTTTAATATAATATAGATATATATTTTTTAAAATTATAATTCGAAAAAATTAAATAATCAAAATCAGGTTGCCCTAACTGAAAGCGAACTTCAGAAGATGGTCAAAGATAGCTTGGTTCCCACCGTTAAAATTTACATATATTGATTTTATATTCCACAATTTTCATTTACATGTATTTAATCTTATATTATTCCGAATTTCACCTTTTTCGGTAGATAAATAAAGAAGATATTGCAAATGGTTAGAATAAAAAATATCAAAAGATAAAAACAAAAGCAGAACCGTTGAGATTGTACATAATAGCATAAAACCAAATGACAAGCAATTTGGTTGTCCTTTCTAGTTTTAGATGATGATAGTCATGACTTCTACTTGATTGGGCAAATCATCGTTTTCAATCCTCTTGACTTAACACATTTTCTCCCCTACTATTATCACTCAAATAACTGTATTTGTGACTTAATTTCCAAAGATGAATTGAGTCATAAGACACCATAGCCTATCAAAATGGAAATCTATCCATTGGTCAATTTTAGATCATTTTATGAGGTGTATATGTAAGAATGATAACACATATAACCTAAGATCAAACATGAATTTAGGACACAAAATAAAACTAGATTAGCGAGAACAGTTAGTTACCTGTTTGAGCCATATTGCAAATTGACGAAGGACTAGGTCTTCCTTTCTATTACTTTGTCTTAAATATGGCGGCGTCAATGGGACAACTACGACACACAATATATATTATGAAATAACTCTGGATGTTTGTTATATAAAGATTAGAGATGGGACATGGCTGCAATTAATGAAACTCTTATGGGTCCTCCCATTACGGGTCTCATCGGGTTGAGCCTACACTCACAGTCGTACTAGACACACCAAGCACATAAAGTGCATGATCTAATAATCAATTATCACATTTATAATTGGGCTCACGTTTATAGGCTATCATCAAATTTGAATATATAAATATAAATAAAATGGTTTTTTTTTTTTTTACTTTTAGCTCGCGCCAGAAACTATTTACATTTTGGTAGCTGAAAAAGTGTATCAAATTTGTATAATTTTTGTATATAACTTACATAATGTATATATACACACAAAATATATATATTTCGCTATTATTTTGAGAGTGTTATACAATGCCATTTTTCCTAAATAAAATATTTAATAATGTAAGCCCATTTAACCCCCTTTTAATCTTAAGTGGTTTCTGTAAACATCTTTTAATTAAAATATCAGAGAGATAATTGATCAGTTTAGGATGTAAGGAAAAGAAGATATTATTCACCACATCAACTAGCTCTTCAAAACGTTGAGGTGGTAAACCAATCTCATTAAAAGGAAAAAAGTGGGGAGAGGGTCAATCTCATGAACTTTTCAATAATGTTATTAGCCACAAAAATAACTAGCCCTTCAAAATGTTGAAGTGGTATATATGCGTATATATCTTACTTTTAAAAAGAAAAAAAGACGGTGGCGGTCAATATCATGAATAAATTTCCTTTAATTTGATAACAGTTTCATCTGTGTTACGCAATCAATTTAGGAAAAGTGTCTATGTACAACACAAGCATGTACACTTAAAAATTAAAATCGTAATATAGAATTCTTTATTTTATCGTTCTCGTTTTGTGGGAAGTATATTGTTGTTCGATTTTTCTCTCATTTGTTACATTTGCAACAAACAGAATAATGTATAAAACGAGAAAGAAAGAAAAAAGTAACTAATCTTTGTAAGCTTACTCCCAGTCCTCTCTAAAGCAAAAGGATTAGCTCGATTGCTCCTCCTTCAACTTTTTTGTTTCCTTTATATTTGTCTAACTAATAATGCTTCGCCTAATGCTAGATAATGAAGTATTTACAAAATAGAAATAGAAGTTAGGAATAAAATAATCAGGTATCATGCGAAAGATTGTAAAGCAAATCTTAAACGACGATAAATCAGACAACAAAAGATAAATATACCAAAAGAGACACAAACATATAACATGATTTGGCCAATTTGACCTACATCCACAGGCGAAAATGAGCAATCCACTATATAAAAAGAGCACAAAAATATTGAGAGAATAACCTCACAAAGAGGCAAACACAAGTGACAGACTAACATTTGTCCCAAAATTCTCCCCCTAAACAAGACTGTCCAGCACTTTATGGCTACAATGTGGATGCTACTGAATGAGAAGGAAAAATTCACAATTTATAGAAGTCCAAATATTTTCCTTAAGAAAAAGGACTAGCCAAATATGAAAGAATTATAATTTCCCTCTAAGAAAAGGAACACTCAATTATGATATATGTTTCTCTTTCATTCAAGAGATAGGAAAACCAAACAAGACTCTTCATCACTTTATGGCTACATTGTGGATGCTACTAAATGAGAAGAAAGAATCTTTAATTTATAGAAGTCCAAACATGTTCCTTAAAGAAAAAGAACTAGCCAAATATGAAAGAATTATAATTTTCTTTTAAGAAAAGGAAAACTCAATTATGATATATGTTGTCATTTCCTTCAAGAGATAGAAAAAATAAATATGGCAAAAAAATCGAGACAAACACCTGACAATAGAAGATGCATAACCCACCAAATATGTCAACAACATGGTGACGGCTATTGATACATTGCAGTGTAGTCTCATTGTTGTTGCTTATTTAGGATATTAAAAATAAAAATAAAAAAAATAAATAGAGAAGAAAAAAAGAGTTAGTATACACGCGCATGGATTCTATTTTGTATCACCAAAATTCATACACAAATAAGAAAAAGTTAGAGTTTAGTTATATCTCATAGTTGAGTAGTTTAGGGAGCAGTTTAGGGAGCGGAAATTGAGTGTTGACAAATATAATTAATAATAATATTTTGATACTCACAAAATTTTTCCTATTTCCCAGCCAAGAATCTTCTTCAATCCCAAAAGAATAATAATAAAGTCGGTAATCGAATTTATGAGTTAAGTAAGCAATACTATTATTTTGAGTATATGATTGTCCTTGAGACTTTTAATCTTAGTACTTATAATACATTTACCATTATATCTTAAACCTCAATTAACGATCATAAGCCAACATTTTCATTCTGAAATAAGTAAACGCAAAATCTCGAGAGAAAGGAAAAGAATTCCAAGTGTCACAACCCATGCTTGTAGTTGTTGTGTAGTTTGCTAGTTGCACCTCTCACGCATCAATTGGTCATTGTCTTTTTTTTTTCCATCTGATGTTCAGTATCTGTATACTCGTAAGCCCTCATTGAGAATTCGCTACCAAGAATTTTTTCATACCAGAGTGTATGGGTCCAAATCTGCCTAAGGACATTTAACACGAGTGATGTCGCCATAAATAATATGGCCGAGGTCGACTAATAACTAATATGATCCATTGCCGAACAACTAATTATGGTCGAGGTCGAGTATTGGAGGGAACAGTAACAACAAGTTTAGTAGAGAATATTTTGTTAGATATTCTTTATACTCACTTTTAGGGCTAATTGAGGGCATACCCCTATAAATAGAAAGAGATAGATCAGATGGGAGAGGCTCTAACAATAAATTCCTTGACAAAAAAATAGACTATCTACATCTTAGACAGCAGATGCAAGAAAGGCTCGGAAATCCTTGTATCTATTTGTCATTCATCATAGCCAAAAGAAGAACCACTTCAACCAATTCGAGATTGGGTGGATTATTCTCTCTATTTACTTTTGAGCCATTCAATGTAATTGAATCTGGAACATTCCTCTCCCCTTATTGATATTCGAACATTGAATTCATATTTGAAGTTATTATTATTAGCTAGGCTTAACCCCTCATTTAATACATTTAATTAGTTTAGCCAAAGATAATTATTTTTTGGTCAAACAAGTTAGCGTCGTCTGTGGGAAAACCTAGTTAAATCTTTAGTTTCTTCTGGATCTATAACTGGCACGGTTCACAAAAAAAAAAAAAAAAAAAAAAAAAAAAAAAAAAAAACTTGTACTTCCTTGTACACCCAGATCTGACATGGCAGGTAAAGGAGAAGAAAGGATGAAGGCAGTGGCCGATCTCACTACCAATCTCTTAAACACCATCTATGAGGTCTCCGAAACAGAAGGCGAAGACATAATGCCTAACACCTCCCCCGACGAAGTGGATCACCCCTCCCTCACGGTAGTATCACAGCATCTTGTGGTAAAGGAGCTTCCACATCTACAGCGGAAGAGGCACCACCAGCGATGAATAAGCTATTCGAGGCTCGGCTAACAAATACGCTGACTGGCATCCTCAACAATCCCACAAGGAAGTTAGAAAAAATGCAAGGACTTTTATTGCACCAGCAACGTCCAAGCAGCACTGCCCTCCCCCTTCAGTAAGAGGTATCACTCACAATATTAATAATGCAGGTAACGACACCCTCACAGCCATTCTGAGGAAAATGGAAGAAATGGAAAATGAAAACAAAATGATTCGGTATCAAATGAGAGAACACCAAGAAAGTGTCGACAAAATACCAGGTGCCCCAAAACTCTTGCCAAAAAGAGACGCTGGTCGGTTCGTCGAGCAACCCTAGAGTGATGAAGTCTCCCCACATGCCATACCCAAGACGTTCAAGATGCCGCCGTATCTGAAAATTTATGGCGGTACGACTGACTCCGAAGATCATGTAACTTACTATGTTACTGCGGTAAAGGGCAATGATCTCGCCAAAGAACAAGTCTCTTCCATCTTGTTCAAAAAGTTTGGTGAGACCCCTATCGGAGGAGCATTGACTTGGTATCACAGTTGCTTGCACGCTCCATTGAAACATTCGAGGAGATGGCCGACAAGTTCGTAATGGCCCATGTTGGATAAAAAAAGGTGAAGGCAAGAGTAAACGATATATTTGCCATCAAACAATCATCCGGAGAGGGATTAAGGGACTTTCTCGCTTGATTCAACAGAGTAAGGATGACCTTATCGAATGTATCGGAAGGAATGGTTGTAGCATATTTCCAGAATGGGCTGAACGGGAATGGCTCAAGGGAGACCAGAAAACTATTAAGTCGGCTTATGAAATATCCTCCAACCATTTGGGATGAAATACACAACGCCTATTGTGCCGAAGTCCGTGCAGACGAAGATGACCTGAATAGGCCAACCCATAGATTGACCTCGGTACAAGCCGAAACCAAGAAGGATCGAAGAAATGATGCCAAGAGATATCTCACAGCTCCACAATCCAACCGAGAAAGGCATCAGCTATATGTCAAAAATGCCATCATGAACCCCTCCCGCCACGAAGAGGGACCATCTAGGCCAAGAACAGGGACTCACCAGAACGAGAGAGGTATGCCCCATTTACTATTCGCTTAGAATTTTTGTGTGTCATCTTCAGAAATAGTCTATGCATTGAAGAAGCTCGGACCAAAAGGTCAGATCCAAGCACTAGAAAGTCAAACGCCCTCTACGAGTTCCACCAAGAGCGAGGTCACAAAACTGAGGATTACATCATCCTAAGACAGGAGGTCGTGAACATGCTTCATCAAGGACACCTTAAAGAATTGTTGAGCGACCGAGGAAGGATCAACTTTGCCCGAGGACGCGAACAACATAAGGGACCGCTGAAACCACCCTCACCGACTCGCACCATTCAAATGATCATCGGGGGCGGTGACGACGTTTAAATCAACATCGTAAAATTTGCCATAACCCACAAGCTCAAACGGTTAGTCACTCATGAACGGTACGACGAACTCGAAGAAAGTATCATCTTCGATAAGTCAGATACACACGGTTTGGTTTTCCCTCACTATGATGCCATTGTTATCACTTTACGAATATTAGATATAGATGTAAGATGCATTATGGTGGACGATAGGAGCGGCACGTGCATTGTCCATCCTCGAGTATTTACGCAAATGAAACTCGAGGATAAGATATTACCGCGCTTCATCACGCTGACGGGTTTTAACAATGCAGTTGAACAAACATCCGGGAAAATCACACTTCTCGTCCTGGCCAGCGGCGTCACTCTGGAAACCATATTCCACATCATGGACCAGGATACGACATACAACGCCATAATAGGCCGACCTTGGATACACGCCATGAGGGTTATCCCCTCCAGCTTGTACCAAGTTATTAAATTTCCAACCCCATGGGGAGTATTCAGCATACGAGGAGAACAACGTACATCTCAAGAATGCTATCGCATCGCCCAGGATTGTACATACACCCACCAAATGAAGGGAAAAGCATAGGATGCATAACAATTAATAATGTCGAGGTCGAGCTGTGATGAGAAAGAGGACGTCATCAGAGATCCCGAATCAATAGACACCATGGGATCAACCGTAGAAGACCTCGACCCCGTCTAACGTGACGATAATGACCACATCAAGATAGCCTACGTCGGTCGCTAGCTTCAAGAACCAGGTAAATTCCGTTAATTCTTAAGTGCTAACGCGGACTTGTTTGCTTTTTCCCATGCAGACATTCCAGGTATCCCGAAAGAGGTCGCCACACACAGGTTGAACGTCGACCCATTCCACTCCATGGTGAGGCAGGTTAGGCGGAAGTTCAATTCCGTAATAAACGATGCATTTCGCTATGAGGTCGAAAAATTGTTAGAAAACGGCTCCATCAGGGAATCAAAATATCCCAGTGGATCGCCACTGTGGTCATGGTAAAAAAAAAAAGAACGGAAAGTGGCGGATGTGTGTAGACTTTACGGATTTAAACAAAGCATGCCCCAAAGAATCATTCCTGCTACCTCACATTGACCAGCTCATTGACGCAACGGCCGGACATGAACTGTTGAGCTTCTTACATGCCTACTCGGGCTATAATCAGATCCTTATGGAAGAGAAGGACCAGGAGAAGACCACCTTCATTACCCCACCAAGGAACGTATTGTTACAGGGTGATGCCCTTCGGACTGAAAAACGCGGGGGCGACATACCAAAGGTTGGTGACCAAAATGTTTAAAGACCAACTCGACAAGACCATGAAAGTCTATATAGACGACATGTTGGTCAAGTCCAAAAACAAAGAAGATCACATCGACCACCTAAAACAGGCCTTCGACATACTCAAGCGATATGGGATGAAATTGAACCCTGATAAGTATGCGTTCGGCATAACTTCAGGAAAATTCCTGGGCTTCTTAGTATCACAAAGAGGCATCGAGGTTAATCCCGACCAAATCAAAGCCATTAAGGGAATACCAGAACACTTAACCAGCAAAAAATAAGTTCAGAAGCCGATCAGCCGCATCACCGCCTTATCAAGATTCATCTCATGATCACCTGATAGATGTCACAAGTTTTTCGATGTGTTCAAGACGGACAACGACTTCCTATGGACATCCAAGTGTGTTCAAGCCCTGAAGGAGTTAAAAGCCTACCTATCATCGCCACCATTGATTGCCAAAGTAGAAGAGGACACTTCAAGTCGAAGTGAGGACAAGTAAAAGGCAGTTTATTGCTCAACCTCTCGACATATCTCCAGGTCGCCCAATGAAGGGACTAAATAGACCGGGACTGGAATGTGAACCTGAAAAATATGTAAATTTCTCTATGTATTAAGCAAAACACATGAAAAACAACATTCGACCTCGTTCGAATTAAGCATTCGACCTCGTTCGAATTAAAGCATTCAACCTCGTTCGAATTAAGTATTCGACCTCGTTCGAATTAAAGCATTCGACCTCGTTCGAATTAAAACATTCGACCTCGTTCGAATTAAGCATTCGACCTCGTTCGAATTAAGCATTCAGCCTCGTTCGAATTAAAACATTCGACCTAGTTCGAATTAAACATTCGACCTCGTTCGAATTAAGCATTCGACCTCGTTCGAATCAAACATTCGACCTCATTCGAATCAAACATTCGACCTCATTCAGATCAATTGTGGCCTATTTTCAGTCGAATTATTCAACCTCGCTTGTATTAACTAGGTTACGTTTCAAATTAAGCTCTGACTATATTTGACTTCGTTCGACAACACTAAATTAGCCAGAGATCACCACCGCTAAGTGCGACGTTTGATTTCGTTCAACGTACAAACCGAGCTTCTACACCTAAAATAGCCAAACCGAACAGAAGAAATCCAGAAACAAAATGACGAAAATAACACTTCATACTTCAAAAATATTATTTACAAAGGCTAAAACAGAGCCCACAAAAAATATGCACAAATTACAAATCAAAGGGATAACTACTCGCCACCCGACCTAGCATCGCCATCTTCACCATCGCCACCATGGTATTCGTCCTCATACTAGGTGTCACGCCCCAAACTCAGAAAGCGCGACCGGCGCTCAACCGAGAGAATCCGGCCGAGCAAGCCTATTAGACTTTCTTCTACCCAACCCATCCATGAATAAATAGGAGATGTACTCCATTAATCAATCACTGAAAAGATTTTATTAACAACTTCCTTTTCATTCCCATTAGCAGCTTCATTCATAATTTCCAAAACATTACGAGTTTATTGAATTAATGAAAAACATAATTTCCAAGTACCAACATTTCTAATTCAATTCCCAACATCAACCATAACTGACAACCTGTCTACGGAGCCTCTAAGTATAATAGAAGAGTAATATGAAAATGTCGGGAACAAGGCCTCGACTATATCTCAAAATATAGTACATGAGAAACAAAAGATACATGACCCCAAAATAAAGTGGGGCTCACCAAATCAGCTGAAAAGAGTGTACTGCTATCACTGATTAATGCCTCCTGCTGAAGAACCACCTGCATCCATTAAAGATGCAGCGCCCCCGGCAAAAGGGACATTAGTATTGTCGAATAACACTAGTATGTATAGCTAAAAATCCTCTTTCAAAATAGAATGCCCATATAAGAAAAGGAAACACATAGAAACAACAAGTCACAATCAACAATATCCAAACGTCCAGTTAAAACATAATAATTTTTAAAATACGAACTTCATATATAATTTTGGTTGGGAGATCATTAGCACCGATATACCACCGTCTTTGTTAGTACGGAGTGCGATCACGCCCGATCGGCTAGGCCATCTCCCCACGAACAATGTGGTTTGACATGTGATGCGAAAGAAAGATGTTACCAAGAGTAGTACCACCATATGTGCAATATGGCGTCTGATCTCCACCCGATCAGCTAGGCTGCCTTTCCACATATGCCGTGTGGGTTGACTTTTCCAATCCACAAAGGTTCCAGTTTCATCCCAATTAAGGGGAATATTATCACAATTTCTAAAGGTTCCAATTTCATCTCAAATAAGGGGAATAATCCCAATCCACCCCTACACCGGTACGTGTAGTTTCAGGTGTGGGCCATATGACCCATCCTTCCTCGGTATTGCTAATGATGCTCCCAAAAATAGTGTTGATTTGATTTGCAAACAGAAATATCATAAATGTAATTGTACTCACCTCAACATCTTTCATATTATATGAATTCTCATTAGTATTTCCGGTCATTCACAACGATAATATTTCATTGGCCCATTAGGCCATTCACAAGATTTTTTATTCCTTGCACGATGGCCGTATTTCATATTCCATACTTTTAACTCTTTCAATTTCAAAGATCACCATCAAGTATCAACATATAGGATATTTTAGAAATCATATACTTCAAATCCATTTGAAATACAAACTTCAAACACAAATGGTTCCTTCCCAAAGAATGAGGCATACCAACCAACAATAGAAATACACATGAAAAATCATAAACAGTCAATACACCATTTACTCTTGCAATACTCTTCCCCATAAATGACAATGTACAATTTCAACACATGAGTATATAGAACTCGAATCACACTGGATATATTTATAAATCAAAGCATTAGTTAAAGCAGCCACTAATGGGCATGAATTTAGTACAAAAGCTTTTAGACAATTCTAACTTCGAGGTCAATTTTAAACAATTGAGTCGAGGCTCATTTCATATTCTTTATCGCATCTTCTCAAATCATTTGCACTACTAGACACAATCATAACTTAAATTCTTGGCACGTTAGCCACGCTCTATATCCCCTATTAACTTATTTTACTTTCAACCATCTTTATAGATTATCAACAATAAGACATTTCTAAATCAAGACGTAGGTACACATATGAGCAATTAAGAGTCTTAAGAATATTGAGATTTTCTCGCACAATTTGGCATATTATCTTTCATTGAAACACAACTCAAAGCCATAACCTTTTAATGCGTAACCCATACTTTCAAACTTACGAAAACATTATGGAATTTAATTCCAAGAGAGAAAGTTTAGCCAACATACCTCAATCGAGCTTCCTTAACTCTAGAATGATCCAGAATTCTTAGCAATCCCGATCTCTTAGATGAAGAACTTATGGGTTTTCCTTGTTAATCTTCCAAGATTTGAGCAAGACTTGATGGATAATTAGCCTAGGGTTTTCCTCTCTCTAAAACACTCATCCTTCTCTCTAAAACATCAGATTTTTGCTCAAAAATAACCCAAAACGTGTATTTAATGAAGTAGGGTTGGGTTTTAAAAACCCAAAAATGGAGCTCCGGAACAAGTTTTGCGGTCGCATATATCGGTCGCATAATTACATACCAAAACGATCAAAAATCTATCCGTGTATGCGGTCACTATGCGGTCTGCATAACTATTATGCGATCGCATAGCCGAACGCATAACAGTTTTGCGGTCGCATAGCCGACCGCATAATTTCCCCCAAACTCGACCTTCTCCTGCTCACTTCTGCGGCCATTATGCGGCATGCAGAGTGATTATGCGGTTGCATAATGGACCGCATAAACGCGTTTTTTCGCCAAAAAATTTCCTTTACTTTCCGGTGCATTGTTCTACCCAAAAAGTCCGAAAGATTTTATACCATCCTCAAACACGTAAGCCTACTCCGGCACCGCAAAACCTTGAATTCACTTGCGAAATTTACGGGGCTTTACATTGAAATACTACAAAAAAAATTAGGGTGTTACACTAGGCATCCTGCTCAATCCCACCTAGATCCTCCTCGCCATCGCCGGTCCCCAGTATAGCAGGATCGTAACCACAGGCGATACAAGCTGCACGCGCCTTGGCACGAGAATCCTCTTAATCAGCCTCAGTAATCCTCCCCGATGTCATCATATCTTTGAATATGTCTAGTTGGGCCTCGAAGTAGATCCACATTTCATATAAATCCCGCGGAACATCGGGGTAACCAGAAGTGTGAGAGGAGGACGACTGAGCCTGCAACTAAGTACTCTCGGCCTCAAGAGCGACGATTAGGTCACCAAGGTCCGAAACCTCTTTTTCCAACCCCTTGATTTGCTCGTCAAGCCGCTCTTCCCTAAGCCTGGCCGTCTCCAAATCATTTGCCCGCACGCTCCATTGAAACATTTGAGGAGATGGGCGACAAGTTCGTAACGGCCCATGTTAGAGCTAAAAAAGGCGGAGGCAAGAGTGAACGATATATTTTCCATCAAACAATCACCCGAAGAGGGATTGAGGGACTTTCTCGCTTGATTTAACAGAGCAAGGATGACCTTATCGAATGTATCGGAAGGAATGGCTGTAGCAGCTTTCCATAATGGGCTGAACAAGAATGGCTCAAGGGTGACCAGAAAACTATTAAGTCGGCTTATGAAATATCCTCCAACCACTTGGGCTTATGAAATATCCTCCAACCGAAGTTCGTACAGATGAAGACGACCTGAATGGTCCAATCTATCGATTGACCTCGGTACAAGCCGAAACTAGGAAGGATCGAAGAAATGATGCCAAGAGAGATCTCGCATCTCCACGATCCAACCGAGAAAGGCATCAGCCATATGTCAAAAATGCCATCATGATCCCCTCCCGTCACGAAGAGGGCCCATCTAGGCCAAGAACAGGGACTCACCAGAACGAGAGAGGTATTCCCCCTTTACTATCCGCTCAGAATTTTTGTGTGTCATCTTCAGAAATAGTCTATGCATTGGAGAAGCTCGGACCACAGGTAAAGTGGCCAAAAA